AATAGTTTGCTTGTTACCATGGAAACCTAATGGCCTGCCAAAAAGAACGAGAGAGAGAGAGAAACAACACCTCACTGTAAACAGGGTATATGAAGAGCTGGCGTTTATTTTCCCTTCAAGAAGGTTTTTAGTATAGAATTCAATAAATGTAGGCCCTTTCACCTTTGGGTGTCACCTCCCCTAGAGAATAACCCTCGAGCAAAGATGTTTAAGACATTTATGTTTCATTTCCTCATGGCTATGCTAGATAACTGTATGCTGTCTCCTTTTGCATGCATTACTATCCAGGGTGTGTAACCTGGGCTTACATATGACACAGGCTTATCCGAGTTTGCTTGCAGCCACTTCAACACCTTTCCTCCCCAACGAAGTCATCTGTCCTAATGAAGTGAAGAAACCAAACCACCGTCTTTTATAAATTGCCATGGAAACCAAGTGCCTTCAATGAAACAAGCCTGATTAAAAAAACAAACAAACAAAATCAACACAGAAGCTTGCACTGCTAAAATGTGGTTTGTGCAAACTATTTTCTAAACAAACCACAGAGCCTAAGTGTGCAAACAGCAGGCAAGGGAACAAAGCCGCTTCTGGAGAAGGATGGACCTAAGTTGCTGCGTAAGACCCTTTCCGACGAGATGTTCCAGACAGCCATGGCCTTTCAGCTTATTATCCATTAGAAAATAGCTTCCATTGGTCGTGGAGATGGGAGCAGCACTTTTTTTTTCCAGATGATCAAGTGGGTCAACCAGAGAAAAAGGTTGTTAAGATGTACTTAGCGCAGCAGGTGGTAAAACACAAAAGGGATTTTCTTACTCTAACCTCCATTTGAAAAGAAATTGGCCCGAGCTTTAGAGAGACGAGAAGGTGTGTGTGTGCGATTGCAGTGCATACAAAATAACACAAAAAGGGGGCCGCCAACACAAAGGGGGCCTGCAAATCTGGCTTTATTCAAAACACGGATGGTATAATGCCTCTGCCCGTTAGTCAGACTCTGTGCAGATTGTGAAATATTATTTTATTATTTTAGCATAATTAAAAAAGACACTTTTACAAAAAAAAAAAAAAAAAACTGTAAAAATGATTTTGAGCTACCTGAGTACCTACCATACCTTTAACCGGCCAGTTTTCCAATGCATTGTAAATTTCCCTTATACAGTGGGTTATGAAAATTTGAAAACCTTTTTCCTTAAATTATCTCAGCTTTTAACTTCATTTAAAAAAAGACTTTTGTCTAAAGATGATGATTATTTTATTATATGTTCAATGCCCTAGGATTAAAAAAACTGATATGCAAGTAATTGGGTTACAAATATTAAAAACAACGACAAAATATAACATTTGCAAATATTAATATAAAAAGCACAACAAGATGCAGTAAAACAATTACAAGGCTTGATTTTTTTTTATTCTGTAGAAAAATGTTTGTGCAAATTCAGTAATTCAACTGAAGAGAGAATTTTACAGCTATGTTCAATAAAGCCTCTTTCCAGGTAAGGTATTCTAAGTGGTATGCGTGTTTGTTGCTCTATGTGCACTTATTCATGAAAAGGGCTTAACCGAGAGTCGCTTTCTTGTGTCGTAATCTGTCATTGTCTGAATCCATAATACTACATGACGTTCAGGGACAGGGATTTTTCCAAGGGCACTGCTAACTATCTATTTGTAAGTGATTTCACTTGTTTGTAATACACTGGTCCTATGGGAGTGCCCCAGTTGGAGTCCACTTGGAAGTCAAGTGGGAGTTCTGGGCATGGATTGACTGTGAGGTTGGGGCCTTATATGCTTTTAAATAAGACATTTCCAGCTAGCAAGCATCAGCATTAATGAAGGACGGGAGAGCAATAAAAACTTGCACTTGGTATCTTTTGATGTTCAGAGCAGTACTAATAACGCCAAAGTAGTGACATATCACCGGAGAGACTTTTTCTCCCCATATTTTTGGCCTGGCTGTCTTTGGAGAGAGCCTGTCTTGCAAGATTTCCAACCCTGTTTCCAGAAACATTATCACGCCCATCTGAACCTTTTGCAGTTCCCCCATCATTAATGTTTAGGGACTGTATGTCAGCTGCCATCGTGAAAGCAATACGACTCACATTTGGTCATTTTTCAGTAAGAGCACCAGCTTCAGTGGTCCTCTCATCAGAGAGGTCGCAAACACTTCCCAGGGCTGTCCCTGAAGACTGGCAGCAGAGGGACCTGAGACTGGACTGGTATCTCAGCTAGTACCAAGGGAGCTATCCAGATTCATATCAGCTGAGGATCTGGCATGTTGTTCTGGTTTATCCTTCACACTAGATTGCTGTCAATTCTTTTGCTGTTTTGTTTTATAAAATCCAGACTGTTTTGCTCTGTGTAGATTGACTGTGCTCCTTTAAAAGTAAAACATGCACCATTCCCTTTATGTTTGCTACTTTTCTTCTAATTCATGACTGCTAAAACCAGACCAAAATAAAACTGAAATCTGGAGGCCTGTTCTTCAGCACAGGGAAGCAGAAGCATCCTGGAAGCCGCTCCGTGGCATCATACACTAAGGGTACATCTACACTACAGGGGGGAGTCGATTTAAGATACGCAAATTCAGCTACGTGAATAGCGTAGCTGAATTCGACGTATCGCAGCCGACTTACCCCGTTGTGAGGACGGTGGCAAAATCGACTTCTGCGGCTTTCTGTCGGCGGCGCTTACTACCACCTCCGCTGGTGGAGTAAGAGCGCCGATTCGGGGATCGATTGTCGCGTCCCAACGGGACGCGATAAATCGATCCCCGAGAGGTCGATTTCTACCCGCCGATTCAGGCGGGTAGTATAGACCTAGCCTAAGCAGTCACGGTGCTGTGTGAAGTATCAGGGGGGTAGCTGTGTTAGTCTGTATCCTCAAAAAAATCCACCGGACTCCTTGTTGGTGGACAGCAGCAGTCCGTGACATTGGCTGTCATAAGTAATGAGAATAATGCGGAGAGAGAATTTGGAGAGGCTCTTAAAATGCCCACTCACATTCAAATGGTTTTGATCAAGATCGTTTGCGAAAAATGAGGGTTTTTTTCTTTTTGGGGATTGTAAACCAAAATACAAACAGATTTGCACATGCCAGAATTAGTCTGAGTATCTTTTTTTTTTTTCAATTTTAAAATGAATTGAATGTTTATTAAAAGTTCGGGTTTAACGGCTCCAGAGACCAAAGTCCTCTTGGTTGTTCCAGTGCAGCGTAAACACAGAGTAAGTCACCTTCCACATACTACCCTACCCTCTGTCTTAGCTTTGACCTGCAGAGGTCAACTCTTGGAGTGAGAGGATAGTTTATTTTCCATGCTCATTTTCAATCCTTGCTTCTTGCCTGGATGTAAAAGAGAGCACCAGTTAGTGCGGATCTTCTTGTTCATTATTTGCTCGAGAATAGACTGGACTTATATTTGACTTTCCAGTAAGCCGCTGGAAAACCAATGAGATGACGAAGACTTTGGGTTATTGTGCAGATGCAGGATATGCTTGAAGTGGGGTCTGAGCAGTGAAAGGTGCTGTATCTGATTACCAAATTCCTTGAGCCATCTAATCCTATTTCTGGTTATTTTTAAATCAGTCATGAAAATGAATTGTTCAAATGTCAACTTTGCAAAAATGTCAGTTCATATGTAATGTTTCTATTAAAGAAATATGGTGGGGGGAGCAAAGTTTGGATAATAAACTCCCCTTGACTTCAGCGTGAATGATGGATGTAGAATGGCTACAAGAGCGTGTCCCGACTGAGCCTTCCCAGAGTCACAGGTAAGTGGACTCTACGTTAAACATTCAGCAGCCTTTTCGTCCCATGTCCTGTAGATGTGCCAGCAGGATCTGAGAGAGCTGGGGTGTTACCTTAGCATTCGCCATTCGCTATCTCCTTTTATACCCAGCAATGGCACTGTAACCCACACCTTTTCTAAAAAGCGTAGTTTGCACATGAAATCCTAAAT